CCACCTAGGCATGCAGACTGCTTCTACAAACATTTGTGAAATAATGGGTCGCTCTCAGGGGCTCAGTGAATTCAAGCATGGTACCATGATAGGTTGCCTTCTATGGAATACATCCATCTGTGAAACTTCCTTGCTACTAAATATTCCACAGTCAACTGTTAGTGGTATTATAACATAGTGGAAGCAACTGGGAACAACAGCAACTCAGCCACAAAGTAGTAGGCCATGTAAAATGACAGAACGGAGTCAGCGCATGCTGATGCTTACAGTGAACAGAAGTCACAACTGTGTGCAGAGTCAATAGCCAAAGACCTCCAAACGTCAAGTGGCCTTCAGATAAGCACAACAACAGTGCATAGAGAGCTTCATGGAATGGGTTTCCATGGCCGAGCAGCTGCATTCAAGCCCTACATCACCAAGTGCAATGCAATGCAGTGGTGTAAAGCACACCACCACTGAACTCTAGAGCATTGAAGATGTGTTCTCTGGAGTGCCGAATCACATTTCTCTTTATGGCAATCTGGTGGATGTGTCTGTGTTTGGCGGTTGCCAGGAGAACGGTACTTGCCTGATTACATTGTGCCAAGTGTAAAGTTTGGTTGAGGGGGGATTATTGTGTGAGGTTGCTTTTCAGGGGTTGGGCTTGGCCCCTTAATTCCAGTGAAGGGAACTCTTAAGGCATCAGCATATGAAGACATATTGGACAATTTAATGCTCCCAACTTTGTGGGAACAGTTTGGGGATTGCCCAAAACATGACTGTGCACCAGTGCACAAAGCAAGGTCCATAAAGTCATGGATGAGCAATTTGGGGTGGAGGAACTTGACTGGCCTGCACAGTGTCCTGACCTCAACCCAATAGAACACTCAGAAGAGTTGAAGCTGCAAAGGGTGGGCCGCCTCAATATTATACCCTACAGACTAAGATTGGGATGCCATTAAAGTTCATGTTCATGTAAAGAAGGCAGGTGTCTCAATACTTTTAGCAATACACTGCTCAGAAATATTAAAGGAACACATCAAATCTCAATGGGGAAAAATATCATGCTGGATATCTATACTGATATGGACTGGGTAATGGTTAGGAATGTAAGGATGCCCCATCGTTTGATGGAAATGAAAATTATCAGCCTACAAAGGACTGAATTCAAAGACACCCCGAAACTGAAAGTGAAAAAATTATGCAGCAGGCTAGTCCATTTTGCTTAAATTTAATTGCAGCAATTCAAAATGGTACTCAGTAGTTTGTAAGGCCCCCATGTGCTTACATGCATGCCTGACAACATCGGGGTATGCTCCTAAGGAAACGACAGATGGTGTCCTGGGGTATTTCCTCCCAGATTTGGACCAGAAAAGGTGGCAGTGTCCTTCTGTGGGGCTGCATGAGTGCTGCTGGTGTCAGGGAGATGCATTTCATTGATGGTATTATGAATTCACAGATGTACTGCTCTATATTGAAAGAGAAGATGCTACCATCACTCCGTGCCCTTGGTCGTCATGCACTTGTCCAGCATGACAATGATCCAAAACAAACTAAGGCCACAATTGCATTTCTGAAGAAGTACAGGGTGAAAGTAATTCAGTGGCCAAGTATGAACCTGATCTGAACCCAATTGAACACCTATGGGGAATTCTAAAGAGACAAGGTGAGCATCACTCTCAATCCAGCATCCAGACTCTAAAAGAGGTTGTTTTTGAAGAATGGAAAGAGATCGATGTTGCAATATGTCTCCAACTTGTTCATTCCATGCCTTGAAGACTTTGTGCTGTCCTTGCAAATCATGGAGGTCATACAAAATACTAGATGTAGTAGTTTTTGTTGTGGGGTGTATTCATTTTTGCATTAACTAATTTGAGTAAAACTGAAGATTTTGTGATCTAAGTTATATTATTAACCTTACTTTGATGTAGTGAGCTAAACAAATAAGCTATAAAACTCAGTATATTCAACATTTTGAAAATTGTTCTTGTGTTCATTGAGATATTAATATAAATCTTTTCAAAATGGGTGTACTTATTTCTGCTGAGCACTGTATATACAGTATATATATATATATATATATATATAAAAGGATTGTCTGTTTTTTATTATTAGCAAATTGCGCTGGCTTAATAAGCATGATGGAAAACTGCTCTGGTGAAAAGAATCACTTCATAAGTGTACTAAAATCATTGTGTCACACATCTTACTTATGTAGTTATTTCATAAGCTATTTAGCGCTTGTCTGTGTGTAGCGTACATCTTCATGAATACACCCCAGGATCAGCTCTGTTGCCAGCAGCCTGTCAAAGTGAGTCCCAAAAGCCATCTTCCCTATGAGATATTACATATAATTAAAGTTAACTTGACAACCTGTTAGTGTGTCAACTTCTCAGCTGCCATATTGATTGAGATGGAGCAATACATCCAAACACAAACAGAAAAGGGTATGTTTTATAATAAGAGCGTCACTGTGAGCAAAGGAAGTGTAATTGATACATTAATAAACATTAAATGAAATCAATATCCTGTGTGTTATCACATTAAAGTCTAAAACACTAGAGGTGGTATGCTAGCCAGTTAAACTATTCCAATTAGCTAGATGTTTGGTCACCACAGCTGTACATAAACTGCTGCAATTATTTTATTTTGTTATTTAAGCTTGCCAGAATCTGATTCTGCTGATGATAATGTTATCTCTTCAGTTCCAAGATGTAAAATCCCTTATACAATTAAAGTATTAGCGGAAGGGAGATGATTGATAGGGATTTTAGGTTTTTCAGCCTACGGTTAATGGGATTTGTAACGCACGGCAAGCCTGCTTGTTATTGCCCTATCTGCTAGGAAAAGGTTAAGAACAAAATGTGTTAATGCTTTTTAATATTAGTGTGCAGTATGGCAATTTTGTATATTAGGTTATTTTACTTTTTTTTAGCATTTACACCAAGCTATCCGAAAATATATTTCCATACCTCAGTGGAAGGATATGTAGATAAAATGATTACAATTTAGATTTTATTGAGTAGAGATTTTCCAAACTGCTGTATTTATGAGTTCAGTTCTGCAAAGATTAAATAATGTATTTATATATATATATATATATATATATATATATATATATATATATATACCCACACACACACACAGTACACTGTATATAATTATTTCCAAATCTTGTTTTTCCAACTAAAATGAAATAAAGAGAATAAAGAGACACTTTTCTCAACTTGCCTCATGCACTAATCATTTTTAATCTGGCCTATTGTAATGTTTCATTAGTAAGCTTACCAATGCCAATCACTATGTTGGCACTGCTTCAGTCACTTAAAAATGCAGCTGGCAGACTTATCTCTCTTACCAACAGTGCCGGATTAATATTTCTGACCCCCAAGGCCAACAGTGTTGTGCCCTACCCCCCCCCCCTTCCCCCCCGCCCTCCAATTCCTACCCCAGTTATTTTTCTGCATTTAACATTTAACATTGAAGATGATTTATGTTGGAGGATACAGATTGCTAAACATCATATCAAGAAGAGGCATTTTAATATGGAATATTAGTTTTGTAATGTTGTCCAGATTAGGAACAAGTGGTAAGAATTTACTCTTTCTACATAATGTAAAATAGATCTGAGCAGTAAATATTAATACCAATAATAAATCTAAACTATATGTAACAAGAGACCCATACAAGTACCCATTTATATGCAGATTATGAGATGAAACAGTGATGCTGCGAAGCCTATAGCATATATATGGGAATAGGGAATATGTATGGATGCCAAAAATTATCAAAGATGGAAAAGAAATGCTACTATGCGATGCTCAGTCAAGCATAATAACAGGTATACACCAGGCACACAAGAGAAATTATATTATGCAATGTACATACAGATTAAAAACAAACACTGAAAATTATACCCAGCACATTAACAAGATAAACTATTACTGCACAGCATCCATGCATACAATATTGCAAAAAAAAAAACTTGAGAATTAAGTTGTTGCCCCTATTTACACACCTTCACATGCTGTGTGCACCTAGTGTCGCCTATAGTGAGAACATTCTGTTATGGGTGCCTTCTGGATTCTAATATAGAGGTTTCAACCATACAAAGTGTTAATTCCCAACAATCACTGTTCATCATCTAACCCTGCGCATCTTCCCCTTTCCATTGTATCCATTTTGTTATACATAATAGCACATGGTCTTTATTATGTCTTTATTAAGACTTTTATAATGTGAAGCAGCTAAACACAATTTCACTTTTGATGTGGGAATTATATTTTATCTTTGTCAGATCATTTTTTCTTTGGCTCTATTTAGGATACTTATATTGATACCTGATACGCCATCAAAATCCAAACATGGAAAGGTTTCTTCACAGTGAGAGCTGTGAATATGTGGAATAGACTTCCTCAAGAGTTGGTTCTGGCCAGCTCAGTGGATTGCTTTAAAAAAGGCCTGGATTGTTTCTTAAATACACAGAATATAACTGGTTACTAACATTTATAGGTAAAGTTGATCCAAGGAATATCCAATTGCCTCTCAGGGGATCAGGAAGGGTTTTTTTCCCCATGCAGGAGAAAATTGGATCATGCTTTGCTGGTTTTTTTGCCTTCCTCTGGATCAACCGTGGATGTAGTAGGATTATAACTTTTTTTTTCTTTTTTTAATGGTTGAACTGGATGGACTTTTGTCAGCCAGGCTAACTATGTAACTAAATACTAGTATATGGGACAAGATATGTAAAATTTCCAGAAATTTTGAAGCCATGGGAAAAATGTTTTTTCCCTGTTTTTTTCCAGAAAAAATAGAAATTTTCGGAAAAATTGAAAAAATAAAATCACGGTGCAGTAGCCTTACAAACTGAAAGTAATTTTATTACACTGCAATTTTCAGCTTTACTCTCAGCAGAAATTGCACTGTGGATTAAGGTTTATCACCAGTCTCCTGTACTATGTCCGCAGTCTCTGGTCAACTCCTGTAGTATGTCCGCAGTCTCTGCAGTCTCTGGTCATGTCCTGTACTTTTTCCGCAGTCTCTGGTAATCTCCTGTACTGTGTCCGCAGTCTCTGGTCATCTCCTGTATTATGTCCGCAGTCTCTGGTCATCTCCTGTACTGTCCGCAGTCTCTGGTCATGTCCTGTACTTTTTTCCGCAGTCTCTGGTAATCTCCTGTACTGTGTCCGCAGTCTCTGGTCATCTCCTGTATTATGTCCGCAGTCTCTGGTCATCTCCTGTACTATGTCCACAGTCTCTGGTCATCTCCTGTACTATGTCCGCAGTCTCTGGTCAACTCCTGTAATATGTCCACAGTCTCTGGTCAACTTCTGTAGTATGTCCGCAGTCTCTGGTCATGTCCTATACTGTTTCCACAGTCTCTGGTAATCTCCTGTACTGTGTCCGCAGTCTCTGGTCATCTCCTGTACTGTGTCCACAGTCTCTGGTCATCTTCTGTACTATGTCCGCAGTCTCTGGTCAACTCCTGTAATATGTCCACAGTCTCTGGTCAACTTCTGTAGTATGTCCGCAGTCTCTGGTCATGTCCTATACTGTTTCCACAGTCTCTGGTAATCTCCTGTACTGTGTCCGCAGTCTCTGGTCATCTCCTGTATTATGTCCACAGTCTCTGGTCATCTGCTGTACTATGTCTGCAGTCTTTGGTCATCTGTAGTATGTCCGCAGTCTCTGGTCATCTCCTGCACTGTGTCCGCAGTCTCTGGTCATCTCCTTTACTATGTCCGCAGTCTTTGGTCATCTCCTGTACTATGTCCGCAGTCTCTGGTCATCTCCTGTACTATGTCCTCAGTCTCTGGTCATATCCTGTAGTATGTCTGCAATCTCTGGTCATCTGTAATATGTCCGCAGTCTCTGGTCATCTCCTATACTATGTCCGCAGTCTCTGGTCATCTCCCGTACTGTCTGCAGTCTCTGGTCATCTCCTGTACTGTGTCCGTAGTCTCTGGTCATCTGCTGTACTATCTCTGACATATTCTCTCTGCTGCAGCTGTTTTCTGTGTGTTTTGGCATAGTTCACTTGCTGAGAAGTGCAGAAAACTGCAGTAGTATTGCAGATCCCTGAACTGCTCTGCACTGCAGGTGACAGCTGTGGGGAACTATGAACAGGGCACATAGAAAAGCATTATTTTCTGTGTGTCCTTGCAGAGAGCTCTGTTTTTCTTAGGCAGAAAATGCTGCTCTCTGCTAAACTGTGAATGTATTTTTTATTGCCCATGGTTCCTTGTTTCCTGGGTTCCCCTAAAGTATTATGTTCTAAATATTAGATGGAGTAGCAGAGAATTCCTTGCATTTGTGTGAACCGAACATGTGCAAAAATCCTGCTGAAATTGGTGTAATCCCAGAACCACTAGACTATTAACCCATGCTTGGAACAACAATAGGTATATTGAAATGCTAATTTGTATCCAGGTATCCTTTAGATTTATTAGGGACACTAGTGTACCCACCACCAAGACGACTCCTTTTGCATTTGGTTGAATGTGCAACGTGTGAAAAAGATGAGCATGACCCCGACATCTGTGAGGAGGAAGCAGAAATAGATTAGTCAGATTCAACTCTAGAATGCACATATGTCCTCCTCACCCTTACCACATGAAGCACAATTAGCTCGTATATCAGATATGAATCCTGTTCATGATGCACCAAGCAAGTCCTTCCTCAGCACTCAGCTCAAAGAAAAATTCAACAACTAATAATTTACTGTACAAACAGAACTAAATACAGACAATAGGAGAAGAAAAAAACAAAAGGGGTTTTAGCACCCCAAAAACTAATAGTATATTCCCATAGTCAGTGCCATAAAAATGGACCAAAAAAGGACCACTACAGGAATACTGTATACTATTATTATACAGCTAATTAATTAATTACAATTAATTATAATTCATATTTGTAATACAATAAATGTGCAATTAATTCTACTATTAGGTCTAAACCCCAGTGAGATTTTTTTTTGGCAAAGGTCACAAGGGTGATTTTTTTTTTAAGGATGATGATGCTATTAATATTGCTAGTGATTAAAAAGCTAGACTAATTAATAAAACTTCAGTGGTTGTGCGGACTTTCTCTTGTGATAACAATTCACTGCAATATGTCTTCCACCATATATTTAAAGTGGTTGTAAAGGCTCCAGGTTTTTTACCTTCATGCATTCCAGTGATGTGCACGAGAGCCTTGGACTCTCCCTCCTCATTAGTCAATCACAGCCAGCAAGCCAATGAGGAGAGGAGAGGAGCCAAGCTATGGCTCTATGTATGAATGGACATGCAAAGCAGAGGCTTGGGAGCTAAACTGCTTGGGTGCCCCCAAAGCAAGCTGCTTGCTCTGGGGGCACTTGGCAGGAGGGAGAGGCCAGGAGGTTTGGTGGGGGCCCCAGAAGAGCAAGACTGGGATTGCTGTGTGCAAAACCACTGCACAGAGCAGGTAAGTATAACATGTTTGTTATAAAAAAAAACAGCCTTTAATATCACTTTAAAATAGCACACCAAAATGCAAGACCCCAATATTTCAGAGATTAGGATTACACACTTAATTGTTTCTCCTGCCTTTCGTTTCCAATGGCCTTAGGTTCCTTTCCTGATTGGCTCCTGCCTAGCCTTCCTCCTGCAGTGTAAAAGGATGGAAAACCTATGGCAATATTTTTCCTCCCTGCGCCTTTGTCTCTGTGGTCCTGACTGTAATGAATAAATAAACATAAAAAAATTACAGATGGCGACGGTTTCTGGGAGGGAAATGATTACACTATCAGTCAAAGTGGAGGATCATGGCCTGTGTGCTTCCTGACCACAACATTATTATCAAAAAATAAAGAAAAATATAAACATAAATTAAAAAATGTTTTTTCACGCTTCATCGTTTTGTACTAAGTGCATATTTTTATGCTATGTACTTACCTAATAAACTTTATGGAATAAAATTTTTTTTTTAAAAAAAATATGAAAATTAAATAAAAAATATAAACTATTATAAAGCTTTCTGCTAGATCATATGGGAGGGGTTGCAGCACAAGGAGATTGGACAAACAACACCTGGAATCACGCAGAGGCATGATGACAGCACAGTACACACTTCCCTGACGTTTTTCATCCAATAAGACATTATCAAGGGGTATTGCAGTGTTGACGTCTCATATTTATGTAGTATTGCATGTCCGCCCTCTCTCCACAAATCGATTATGGAAACAAAACCGGAAATGAGGGATCCACCATCTTGAAAAAAACAGAAATGGTGATAGCGCCATCTTGGAATAGGTCACAAGCAAATTTCCGATCCATGGACACAGACCTAAGGTATATTTTTTATGATTATAAAAAAAAAAAAAAGGTCAGGTGGCAAATAAGAATTATTCAAATGTCAAAAAGATCTGAAAAATTAATAATATTGAAATAGGATCCAAGAAAAAAGGTTAGATATAACAAGCAAATTAAATCGTGCTTTGCTGGGGTTTTTTTTGCCTTCCTCTGGATCAACTGTGGGTAAAGGATTATAACTTTTTTTTTTTTTCTGTGGTTGAACTGGATGGACTTTTGCCTTTTTTCAGCCAGACTAACTATGTAACTATGTAACTATATCAGAAACAAATCTCTAGGTATGATGTGTATATAGTTATCCGATAATGGACATAATGTTGAAATAAACATAACTGACAAAAATTTAAATAATTGAAATAAATATACAAATTGAAAGAAGATTGAAAAGGTCCACCATAAATCTTTAACATTCCAAAAATTAACAATAAAATATTCTTAATTAAAATACATGTAACACTATCCCATGTCGATCAAAGGAAACCTCCAGTACATAAATATAAATTGCACGAGAAGTCCCCCAAATTTGAGCACACCAGGAGATCAGTAAGAGTCAGCAAAAATCACATAAGAAATAATATACATACTTGGAATTTCTGTTTAGATATAGAGGCGTTCGTGCTGTTGATTGGCAGCCATCAGTTTTGGTGAGTTTTGAATTCACTGGGTAAAGGTGAAGGCATTTGTGAATTATTTTACTGCAAGCAAGAGCACTTTTATGGTGGTGGATTAACATTATCAAGTTTTTTTCACTGAACTTTTGATTCTATGGACATTTATTTTGATTTGTTCTTTGAATTTTGTTTTTTGACATATGCTCTTTGATTACATGGTTTATTAGTTACACCATTTTATACTATTGGTGCTACACTTTTATTTTTAGGTCATATAGTATATTCTGCCAATGAGCAGTCTCAGAACCTTCTTAGGCCAATCAACTCTTGTCAGATTCTTCAAAGGAAGATGTGGATGAGCATGAGTGTATGATTTCTGTTTTGTTCAAGCATACAGTGATTAAGATGATGGTGATCAAGTTGTCACAATTAATTAAGCATGTGGTGAAGACACTCTAAAGGAATTGTTGAATTCACCTGCTGCAAGGGCCATCTATTCTGTAAATGTCCAGCCTTCCTTTTAGGGCCATTTAAACTTGTCTCAGAGCATTCCCAAGTCAATCAATCCTCTTCAGTCTCTTCTGAACAAGAAGATGAGGATGATCTTTGTTCAGGATTTTGATCCCTCCTTTTGTAAGGCTGGTGAAATGCCTTTAAAATAGAAGCAAAGCTGTGGCAGCATTTGAAGTGCCTCCAGAGGACAGCTTGACAATAACCTTATGGTGACTGAATATAGTGTTCGTTCTACAAGACTGGAGCATGTTGTCACAACAGGATGTCAAAAGTATGCCCTTTTGAAAAGGAAGGTGCCCAGGGTTTGGAATCACCTTTTTGGTCGGTGTGTCCCTTTTGGGATTGGCCAGATACATGAACTTACATTAGAAGATGCTGTGGCTTCAAAGATGTACTCAATCACTGCATTGTTCTTGATCTTAGAGGGTGAATCATATAATATTAGCAGTCAGTTTGTCTTCCTGCCTCAAGATGAACATCTGGAGAGTTAAAGGAGACCGAAGTTCAAGAGCCAGTTTTCATCCTTACTCCAGAGAGGTTAGCTTCTGCATTTCTGGCTGGAAGTCTGGGATAAACTAGTAAGTCAGCACATAATCCAAGAAGTCAGCAAAGAGCTCCATATCATGAAGCTTTCTGGTATTTTAGGGATTGTGCTACCCATACATGTCTTATGGGAACTAGGTGGCTCCTCTTTGGACATAGGTATAGCTTTGGTAATGGACGCATGGTCCCTCAAGGCAAGCATCTCAGGCCATATTTGGGAAATCTTTCATCCTTTACCCTTGGGCCACAGAAATCACCTCGCTCCAGCAGGTCAGATAGGCTCAGTTGAACTCTATCCCCCTTTCAAGCTGAGTTTCTGGACCAGTGGCATTCAGAGGGCCTAGGTCAGAAGATATGGATTACATCCTGTATGAAAGTGAGCCTAAACTTGTGGTTGAAAAAGCAGAATTTTCTGTGATATCATTCTCTTCTGGTGACTTAGTGGTTGCTGGTGCAGTCAGACTCCAGAAAAGTAGTTGGGGAGCCTTATTTCATGAGCAATGGGCTCAGAGCCAAGGGCCTTTTTCAAGAATTCAAGATGGTTGTCCACCATCCTGGAATTTGACTGCAGCATTTCAGGCTCTCCTAGCCTTTGGTTACCTTATCTGGGGTGGGTCTGTCTGGTGAATTTAGACAGAACAACTGTGGGCTACATCTGGAAACAAGGTGGCACTCAGGTTTTCCCTCTTGAAGGAGGTTTCTCCAGTTCTAGAGTTGGCCTTAGTCAATCTTCTACAGCTCTCTTTGGTCTATGTGCCTGGTCAAAAGAACTATTAGTCCAGGAAGATCCTGGATAACAATGAATGGTCCAGACTGCTGCAAGTTTTT